AAGTGTGGAGGCCATAGGAGGTTTTTCTCGTGGTAACCAAAAAAAAAAAAAAAAAAAAAAAAAGTCAATACGATATAATTTAGCTAATGGAACTTATTTTTTTTTAATATAGCTTGGTAATTGTTGCGCTTTCATCATTATACGGGTTAAGTTTTTTTATTTTTTTTATTTATTAAATATTAATCTGTGGGTTCGAAATTATTATTGAATTTAACGTGTATTTTAAAAATTTTACATTTAGCGTTAGAAACCCACCATTTAATGATGAACAGGATAAACTATTTGTTTTAACATCTATATTTCATATATTTGTTGGTAATCAAAATATTGCAAAAATTCAAGAAACTCCTTGAGTGATTCACAAATATTTTGACAAATTTCTTAATCGTCATTATTGAATGTTTTAAGTATGCGTAATATCAGTGTATGCTTTATACACCAAAGTTGTTTGATTTAACTCCTATTCAGTTTATTCCGTCTTTGATCTTTTTAATCAATTCTTGAAATTCAGTCATCAGGTAGAGTTTGCAAAGAACGAAAAAGTGAAATAAGAACAAGAAAGTAGTAAAAAATTTTATATTTTATCTTGATAATTTATCATGACGATATGATCTAAGTTATTTAACTATTGTTACAACTCATTTATTACTAATGTTGGCAACTGGGCGAATTTGGACATAGTCCAAATGCCCAACATTGTTTATTACTGTATCAAATTTAAAATTAACTTATGTTGCTATACAGCGTTACATATAGTACCCCGATCTTTTACAAGAAATCAAAGGTTAATTAAATAATACTTCCGAGAGTACTATGAGAAGAGGAGATACTATACTAGGGAGATATTGAAAGAATATTGAATAATATGAGTTGACTACATAACAGGATCATTGATTCGACTACTTTAACCCTAAATTTTTAGCAAAAAAGTGCATTTTATAATAATTATTAGGGATTATGCTGAAAATTTGGGGTCTCTTTGTAACTCTATAATACCTACTAAATTCACATATACTCTTTTATGAATAATACCACCCCTAATCCTAACAAAAAAGTTCAAGCCACCGCAATAATTGAATCTTTTATTAGTAATAATAGTTATTACGTAATTAATTATAGGTAATGATCGAAGAACAAAATCAATAGTCACATGTTAAATGCAAAAATAACAAAAATCACATCTTAGCACAAATCAATGCCGCTAGCTATTTTGTTCAAATATATAATCAAAGATTAAAACTAAATTTGATCAATCAAAAAAATGTTATTACAGATATCAATTATTACTTGCTGATTTTTAAAAGGAATTAATGCAATTTTTCGAATAGTCTCAAATTTCGCAAATACTTTTTTTTTTTTTGATAATATCTGTAAAACTTGAATTTCCACTATTATCATTCCTTTTTGGACTTGAATCAAATGCTTTTATCTGTAATTGGATTTGAGATTTTTGTTATTTCTTAAACAAAAAAAAAAAAAAAAAAACATCAATCGTGATACATACGTGAATTGTTGGAGGTAGTTTTTGTAACGGTTGACTCGATGCGGTAGGGTAATTTTTTATCATTGTTTGCTTGTTTAAAGGATGGTAATCCAGTTTTTTTATATGCATTACGAAAAGCATTACCAACAGCCGTATTCCAGTCTGAATCAAGATCCTCAGCGTATACACCATTACCAATGTGAACCTTGGCAAGAGTTAATCCATTAACTTTCCTACAATAATATTGAGGGATAGAACGATAATGTGCCAATGTCCATCTAAAAAATAATTCAGGAGCGGTGCCAGTTAATGTCGCGTGTTCGTCCGATGATGTATACGCATCAAACTTGTAACATTCATAAATTTCTGTAAGGTTTAATCTTTCACCAGTTGTAAACCTAGAAATTTCAGATACTGATTTTTTAAGAAGGTTGAGTAATAACTGTTTTATAAGCATGTGTGCTTCGTTGTGACCAGTTATCATATAATATCCACCGACAAATGCTCTGACATAATTGCCATACTTTGATTCATTTTCATCAATTAATAAGGTAAATTTATCTTGAAGATTTAATGACTTTGCAAGCATACCAAGAATTAAATCCGATACACAATATTGAATTATGGGCCGAAAAAGTTCTACATCAGCATCTTTCGGCAAGATTTTTTCTGCCTCCAACGTTGCGTAGAATTGAATTAAAATGTCTCCACAACGAACCAATTCCATAAATTTTTCTAAATTGGGATAAAGGTTTTCTTTAACGTAATCCTCGGAAATATTAGGCATACGTCGATCTTTAGTCAATAAATTCAGCGAAAAACAAATTTATATTTAATTATCTCAAAAAAAATACGCATATAAAAAATCAAAAAAATTATATCAATAGAATAGTAGATACCATTGTAATTAGGTATCATAATTGAGATATTTGTACAATATTCTGCCTCATCAATAAAGGAATCATCAATTCTCGGTTGTTGATTAACTGTTTTTTGTTTTTCTTTATAAGTTTCAAGAGTTTTTGAAATATTTTTAGCTCCAGTATGAAAATTTATTGCATAGAAATTTTGATTTGCACTTTTATCATCAGAAGAATTGGTTTGTGTATTATCCTGAGGTCGTTTCCAGACGATAATCCGATCATCTCCATTATCATTAATGTTGGAAACATCTTTGGTCATCGAATTATTATTTCTTTTTTCAAAAATTTCTGAAATTGGATTTAATGAATCGACATTCTTGTTTTTTAGCTTGACATTATTTATATCATCATCAATAATCATGGGACCCGGGATAGTTGAAGGATTATACATGTCTCTATTTAAATTTGTGACACTATTTTTACCCACACATTTTTTCCTGTCAGAGTTGTCCACGGTTGTTCTAACATTGTAGGTTGAAGTGAGTTTAAGTGCATCATTTTTGGTTTTATCCCGAATAGCATTAGTGGTGGATCCAAAGTTACGTTGCTGGGATAAACCAGTCATTTGTTCGGAATTGAAGCCACTGTACATACTCGTAGGTTGTTTGATCAATTTAGTTTGTACTTGTCTATTTTGACCTTGATTTGAACCGGCTTTAGTTTGTTTATTTGAGCACTCGACATTTTGGTTTATATCAGGAGGAAATGCTGCTGCAAGAAAGCATGATAAAAGTAGATCCATCTTCTGTTTATTGAGACAAGAACGAATTTCCGAAAAATCATTTGGGGAACGATTACAGATATCAAGACATTTCTGAAAAATACTAGGTGAGTCACCCTCAACACCATTCATAAACAATGATAACCATGTTGTTGATTCAAATCTAGATAATTCTTCACATGAAATCACACCAAAATCCTCTCCTGTGATTTCTTTGAATAACGAAGTAAAATTCATCGATATTTGTCAATAACTTTAATGTTCTGTATGACAAAATATAATTTGTCAATTAAAAATTCTTATAGCCTATTTAACCACGTAAATTTAAAAGCTTTCACGAAGAATTTAACAGTTCCCTACTGGCAAAAGAATAACAGGTGCAATAATTTCTGAAAATGTATGTGTCTAAATATAAAGCGCACATGTGGACTCTAGGCAGGGGTATTTATTTAATCGTTTTTAATTGGCAGATTAGTGGAGTAATCAAAATTCGGCAGATCGACCCAAATTTAGGGTCGGAATAAGTCCGGAGCTAGGCTGGAATTAAGCAATAACGATAATACCATTATCATCTGAATCATTTTATTAGAGAAATTTATCTATACCGGCCTATATTTTGGACGACCTGCTGAATTTGGTTGCTCTACTAATCTATCCTCTGTAAATAGCTCATAGCCTTCCTAACGTTAGTATGAAGTTTGTATACGTTGTTTAAGGTCAAATAATGCGTATACAGAAAATAGATATAAAATCAAATAGTCTTTCAACAAATTCTTAAAATAGTTCTTTGGCATGTTTTTTTCCTCATGATAAATAACCTGAATAATTTGAGTAACAGAGCAATCAATTGTGTAACTATATCGGAATAATTTAAGCATATTCTTTTAATGAAAATTCTGACGCAAAAAGGAATGATGACATTTGGAATAAAAGGAGCGGTTTTATTTTCAAATATTTTAAAAGACGTATTAAAATGTATTCTTCCGAATCAGTTAGTTGCGGTTGAAGGCTTGATATTGGAGGTAGAGTCTAGAAGTATTGGCCTTGAGGTTAAACACATAGGGTGAGTTTTTCACTAAGTATTTATTAAGTTATCATATATCCGAAGTTACGCTGTCCCATCGGTGTGAAATGTCTAAGAAGAATTGAAAGCTCCTCGTGGCCTATGTTTCGACATAAGAACGTTCTTCTTCTTAGTTACTTGGTGTTCCTGCGGTCGTAATGCCTACACGGGGAATTAATGGATGAATAGGATATATGCTAACTAATGAGCACGTCACCGTAGACTATTCCGGCCGTGCAATATTTAGTTGTTAATAACGATGATATACGTACTTACATATTATAATTTATAGGAGAAGAATTGACATAAGGTGTAGGGATATCGGTAATTAATATATTAATTTTAGGGATCACCTATTTTTACCATGAAAATTTACTATCGTTACCCATTTTTTACATGACTTTCATGGTCATGATAAATTACGGCCAATAGTGAAAATAGTTCATGGTGTAAAAGTCGTTCCCTAATTTTACTATAAATTGATTTTATCGACTTAGCCAGCTTAGTCAGCCGATTTTCTTTTTGGTGGGTTACTTTTCGAAAAATTACAGAAAGAAAATCAACGAACATAAAATACGAGCGAGATTAAGACAAAAAATTCACGATAATTCCGAAGGTTAACCAAAGATGATCGACTTTGATTTAGTTGGCTAGGCCGATTTTTTAGTCAAGTCTAGAAATAATGGTCGATCACAAAAACTACTTATAAGTACTGTCAAAGAAAAATGGAACTTCGGGCCTTTAATTATATTTTGTACTGGACGCATTCTTAGTTATTAGGGATTTTATCCGTACAGAATATACAGTAATTAAAAGCCCGAGGTTTCATTTTTCCTTGACAGCATTCATATTAAATTAAATACCACATTCTGTATTTATACTATACTCATTAAGGTTTTTGTTGCTATATGTACTGTGTAATAATAGAACTTCGGCAATACGCAAATAAATTAGAAAAAACAATTGAAGAAAAAGATAAAATTGCAAATATATATATATATATATATATTTTGTACATAGTTTTACTTTATTATTATTTTTTTTAATAAATTATAATTTGTAAAATTAGATTAAAGGCTTTCAAGAATTTTTAAATAAAATTTTAAACGATTAGACGAAATAATGGGTACAAAATAGTTTACGGTCCAATCTATTTTTTGCACCCAGAAAATGTGTACCAGGTTTAATTCGGATAAAATTAAGCGGGTCCGTATTATTTCACCGACAATCATTTCGCCGACAGCTCATTTAACCGACATCACACCAAGCGACAATTTACTAAAAATATACACCAGTAAATAATAAAATGCTAATCCTAACCCTACGTGATGTCGGTCAAATGAGCTGTCGGTGAAATGATTGTCGACGAAATAAACGTCACCGAAATTAAGCAACTTCGATTAACGCGAAGATTTGGTCTATTAAAAAAATACACATATATATTGTATATTAGTCGACTCTGAATACAACGAACTTAAATATTTAAATTTCACAATAGTTTAGCCATGGGTTCTTAATAAAACAATTTTTTATAACAAAGTTTTTTTTTCTATTGTCAATTCGCTATATAAAGTTTTCATATTAATATAAAGCTTTTTTTCAATTAAATAAACCATTTCATATTGCTTTATAGCGTTAAACAATGTTATATAGACTTTCACCTAATTAAGCCGCACAAATTTAATATCTTGGTTTTCATAACATGAAACTTTGAACAGATCCGGCCGGCCAGCTTTTTTTTAAAAAAATGGTCATAAATTTTATAAAAAACCTACCCAGTTATTACAGCTGTTTACATAAATTCTGGTCGGTCAATTTTTAGAATTTATGAAAACAGCTGTGATTGGCTAGATAGATATAATTTTATTAAAATAGATTGTCATTCAACGATCTACGTAGCTATCACCTACTGACAAAAATTAAGTATATTACAAGCCGTCATTCTTGCTGATAGCTTTAATGAACAATTCCGTCCCTTGATAGGCCACGAGTATGATTTTTCTGTGATTAGAGATTATTTCATACCCCACACTATTATAACTTCGCCTCAATTTTATAGTGCCTTTTATCACTTCGCAACACACCACTCATTGAATATACCTTAGAACTTCTTGCAGTTGCTGGCGAGCAAAATAATAAAAGATTATATCAAGTAAGTTTGGCATTTTATATAATCTTAGCGATCGTATTCTTAGCATTATATAAATTAATAAATTAGATAATTTTTCAATCCAGAAAGTTAAAATGGAGTTGATCATATTCTCCAATAAAAATAATTACTATTGTAATACCTGAAGCACGTTCAGTTGGAGATTCACTGAGAAAATTAGATGCAAAACAGTTAATTAATTCCGATTTTATTTCTCATATACGGTGATGTACGTATCAAATATACATTTAGACAAAGTATTGGATGTTCATAGGTAAATTTTATGCGGATCTAATGTTTGCATTTTATCCAACTATTATGTTATAATTAATTTTAATGTTTATATAAAGGGCTCGGAAATCTGTTGATAATAATGCAATAATGACAATGGCATAAAACAAAAAAAGATAAATTCATGTTATATATTTAGAAGATTAAGAATATTTTATATTTAATGATTTATATAGGTAGTTAAATAAGCAAGTCCATTTCACAGGACAATCTAATTTATGTTTCTTTATTAAGTTTCGAATTGAAATGTTTCATTAAATTTTGTAATCTCTTTTTTCCGATCTTTAGGTGAATCCCCAATTTACGTACTAGATGGGAAAATTAATGAATGCGTTCATTGTGAAACCGTGGAGGTTTATCCGCGTAAACGTCGCATAGTTATGGATATGGAAGTATTCAAAAAGCATGCTGATGTTCAAATACGTAATGATCTTATCGATTGTCAGATTGATATTGTTCAGTAGAGGTAAATAAATTGGTAAATGAAAAATCTTACTGTCACAACGAATTGATTATCCTGAGTTAATCTTAGGTACCAGTTTTATTCACCGAGAATTTTTGATTATTAAGATATTCGAAAGGATTTTGTTTATGGCATTTTGACATCTGATTTATTGGGAAACCCCATTTATTGCCATCTTGTTACCCATTGCAATAGTGCGATTGGTGATTGAAACCATCCAAAAGAATGTCACTCGGGTCACATGGCGGTTAAACCATGGATCTGGGTGCTCAACTGGTGGGTAACCACGGTTGATCAGTGGTTGGTGCAAGTAGTATTAGGGATTCGAAGTTACTACCTAAATGATGATCGGCAAAAAAATCCGAATATAGGGATTTATCATACG